CAGAGCTTTAGTTTGATCGTACAAGATATCCTGAGTCTGCTTAAGAGTATCTGTTTGCAGTTTTAGGGATTGTGCTATGATGATCTGATCAATGCGGAGTTGCTCTATCATTAAAGCCAACTGATTGTATTCTTGATTATCCTTCCGAGCAGGCTCTGCTTTCAAGATTTATTTAGCTGATTCAAGCTATACTTGCTAGTTACAAGTTGACTGCTAAGATGGTTAGTAGTATAATAGTCTTACTGTTTATTCTGATGGGTATATCGGTTGACTGGGAATGCTGTATATTGGATGCGGAATAGGAATAAGCTATATCTGGTTAAGAACTAGCTGAGATAGAAGCATAGAAGGATCTTGGAATTGAGCCTGTTGATGAAGTTGAAGATTGGTAGCACCGGAAGCAAGTTAGTCTTGAATCTCCTTCTGAAGTGCTTCATGATGAACCTTCAACAGCTTTTTCATAAGATAAGGCTACTTCTTGTTGCTAATGCTTTCAGCAGTAATACTATGATTAGCTTGAAGGCGCTTGATTCAGGTTGAAGAGAGCTTTATTCATGCTTCTGCTACAGATTGATTATCTCTGATCTTAAGACGAATAAGAGCGTTATTATAGTTTATAATAAACAATCAGAAGCTAGCAGTATTAGTAATGAAACAGTTGTTGATGATATTCAAGCATTCCTGCTTGGGAGTATACATCTGAAGATAGTTCCAAGAGCGATAAGCAACTAACAGTTGCTCCTTCTGTTCATTCCAAGTTTTAGTGCTTGTAATAAATCTCTCTACTTCTTCAGCAACGATTGTATCTATACAGAAGCCTTTCATGAAGTTGAATGCTTGAATATCATCAATCCCTTTAATCTGATGCCACTAGTTGAATCGCTTCAGCCACAAGAAGACTTCTATACAAGCAAACAATGTTAATCCACTACCAGCAAGCTCACTATAGGAGAGGAATCTGAAGTTCTAACCATAGTAGTTGTTAGCCAGATAGTTAGCCGAACTGAGTATCTGATTGAAAGAGCCCTCAGACATGGAGGCTATCTTCCCTCTTGATTATCGCTTCCTCCGATGTTTCTTTGCCTTCCTAGCTCGAGATTCTCGAGTTGAGAGCGCCACAGCCAGAATGCCTTCCGTATACTGCAGAAGATAGTACTATCCAGATTGAGAGAGTTCAGATGTTTGAAGGAGACTCAATCCATAAGCAGAGGATGCATGAAGCTGATCTTGCAATGAATAATAAAGGCTTGAGTTGGTTATTCTGTGCTATATCAGAGTTCCCTTTATCAAAAGTCCTGCTAATCAATAGAAGCATTTCTAGCTAGATATAAAGTACTGATTAGAGTTTAATATCAACTGATATTATTGTAATTCTCAATTTCTATTTCCAGTATATACTAATACTTTCTCATTTCCATTCTCTTATTTTCTCTCTCTCCAAGATAATGCAACCAGCAAGCTTTTAACCCAAAGGATCAATGTAGCTAGATGTAATCAGATAGAGCGCGCTAATCGGACTACTGCAGGGATCACAGACCTCGCAGCCTATGCTGCTCCCTTTCGCAGAGTTCCATCCACCAAGAGCATCACACTCTGTAATTTAATCACGAACCCACTTCCAGCATAATTAAACTATTCGCAATCTGTACAGATCTGAAATATACCGGACTGAGACTTTGAATATCGTTCAATATATAAAATGTTGCATAAAGGAATTCATTTCTTCATAATGTTAGCTTATCAGCTCAGCGCCCCGCTCTCCAACCTTCAACCGAAACTCATATCATTCCTTCTTTGCTCACCCATCTCCCCTTTGCAAAAGATCTCCGGAATAACCCAAAGCCTGAACATGTTGCGCAGACTGTCAGTTCAGTATAGGATTAACAAAAAGATAAAAGTTCAGCAGGGAAAAGAGCATGCCCATCCATAGAGTTAACTTGCTGATTTTGCTGATTCTCACGAACTATAATAACAACAGCTCTGAGCCATCAGCCTGAACAGCTAAGTCCATACTCACCGCACCATTGAATCAGAACTAGAGCGCCGTCGCTCTCGAAAGAAAAAGGAACAAATAGCTGCCGAAGCAATGGGCAAGGGCTCATGCAACCCAAGCGTGCCTGTACAGATGAGGACAGCAAACTAAGGCCACACGGGCACAAGAACAGAGTGAAAAATCTGTCTTAGATCTGTCCAAAGGGTTCAAAATTGAAAAGAAGAGAAAGGATGCTTCATTGTTGCTTATAGCTAAAGAATTTGAAAAGTGAGTGATATCCTTTATATGTATAAGGACTCTTGACCCACTGTACTCCACATCTCACGGACTACCACCCTGGCCACCACAACAACAGAACTAGCTCTGAAATAATGTATTTAATAATCTTATCAAAAGCTTCTTATACCTTAGAAGTTCACTTGAAGAGCTGCTCCTTTTTAGTAAGATTCGTAAGAGAGTATGCAATTCAGCTATAGTTCTTAATGAACTGCTTGTAGAAGTTGATATATTCGAGAAAAAATCTAATATCCCTAACATTCCTGGAAACTGGCCAATTCCTAACAGCTTCTATCTTATCTTTCTGTAGCTTAATGCATCCTAGCTCGATCGTGAATCCGAGATAGTCAACTTTTTGTATGTGAAAGTAGCTCTTTGCGGGTTCCACAAGGAGTTTTGCATCTTGGAGCGTTTGCAATACTGTTTTCATATATTCCTTGTATTCTTCAAGTATTCAAGAGTAAATAAGAATGTTATCGAGGTAGGCAATAACGAACTGATCTAGGTGCTTGTATAGAATGTGATTGATCATTTTCTGGAACGAAGCTGAGGCATTCGTTAAACTAAAGAGCATAACTAAATATTCGTAGTATTCGTAGCGTATTCTGAAAGCAGTTTTCCATTCTTCTCCTTCTTTTATTCTAATCAGATTGTAAGCTCCTTTTAGATTCAGAACTGTAAACTACTGTACCCCTTGCAGTCTGTTTTGTAGTTCCTTAATGAGTAGCAATAGATATTGGTTCTTGATTATAATATTGTTAAGTTGTTTGTAATCAATGCATAGCCTAAGCTTGCTATTTTTCTTGGATATAAATAGAATAAGATATTCTGCTGATAATCGCAATAATTATATATATTCTTTCTTAAGATTCTTATTAAGATATTCTCTAAGTACTTCTAGCTGTATCTTATTTAGTCTGTAGATAGAGAAGAATTTGAGCTATTTCCCTTCTTATAGCAGGATTTTGTAGTTATATAAGCTGTATTCTGATAATCCTGTATCCAATTCTTCCTGAAATAGTTTCTTAAACTTGTAATATTCTTGTAATATGTTCGCGAATATTGATTCTGATCCCTGTGCTGTTTCTGCTATCTGGAGGAACAGTAGGTACTGTTAAGCATGCTTCTTTTCATTCGTTGTTTTTAGTGACGTTTTTGAGAGCCTTGAGCATTCGCTTCGAGCTGAATTGAGCGCTCGAGGGCTTGGTTTCGAGGTTTTTCCCATGTGAATTCATATTCCATCTTCTGAAGCTTTTCCTTATTGCTCCAGAGCAGACCAACTTGCTGAGAGTCTTGCTTCCGTTATTTTGCTAACCTATTAGCGCTTTAGCACTATTTGGATTCATCTATCACTAGATTCTTCTTCTTGAACTGCTAGCTCTGCTAGTTTGGAAGTATATAGGAAGTTGTATAAAGCTTCTTTTCCTAAGTATTCTTCAACCACTAGCTTCGATCCTGCGCTATTGATTATAACTATCTCTCTGAGTACAGCTTGTTCTCATGAGATCTAGCCAGTAGTCCAATCGATTCGAGGATTGTACTCCTTGAGCTATAAAAGCTTCATAATTAGCTTATGCTATGCTGTATCTGTAATATCAAAGGAAGCTCTGATTATACATTCTTGAATCAAGATAGATAGATGATTAGTCTTCTTATTGATTACTTCTTAATTATATGCAATAGATTGTTCTTTTACAGTGCTGAGAGTATATAAGTGCTTCTTCTATTTCCATTGTAATTATATCTAATTAACAATATATAGGGATATAAAGTTTCTCTAAGCGCTACTATTCAACAGTATACTGTACTTGCATTCTTGAATATATATATTAAGCTTGATATAAGCATAATCTGCTTTGAAAGCTTCATATAGAAACTGTTTTAGTTTAATTATCTGCAGTTTCTTTACAAGCAATCCTGTTCTTTTGAGTTTGTTAAGAACTACTTATTCTTCTAAGCTTGCTTTGCTGCTTCTTGAACAAGCTTCTTAGCTTGTTTTTGCTCATATTATCATTATTCCTAATCTTTCTTCTATTAATACTAGTTACAAACCTTATTATTGATATAAATTATGCAGAGTATTATTTTGCACTGCTACCATTTTATTTTCTTGTTTATACATTGCATGGAGCAGTTGTCTAGTAATTCGATATATGCATTATAATGCTGTCTATTAAAAACTTTTCTGAAGCGGAGTTCCTGTTCTTCAACAGCCTGAAGGATTTGTTCTGATTCTTTAACGAGAAACTATTCGTATTATACTGTCAGGGCCAATTGTGCCAGCAAGGCTCAGGGCCAGCTAAGCCAGCTGGATTACGGATGACTAAGCAATATGCGGCTATAAAGCGGCTTTCTAGCCACGTCAGCACTGCTGAGCAGAACTTAGCTCCTTAGGCCTCAATGTTATTCTGGTTGTATGCCCCTGAAAGAGAGAAAGACCTCGCCACATTGCCTTTGCAACCTTTCCACCTGACAGTTTGAGGCCTGGCCCTTTTAAAGGAGGCAATCCGGCGAGGCTTTCTATCTTTTTTTTTTTTCCCTAGGAGCAGCGCTAACACTGAGCAGGAGCAGAGCAAACGATCAGACCACTATCCTTTTCGAACCTTCGAGCCTTTGACCTTCGAGCCTTTGACCTTCGAGCCTTTGACCTTCGAGCCTTTGACCTTCGAGCCTTCGATTTTCGAGCTTTCGAGCCTTGAATACAGCGAGCAAGCAGTGCCGAGCAAGCAGTATGCAAGCAGCGTGCGAGAAGCGTTCAGAAGAGATTCAGAGCATTCGAGTCGCTAAGCTAGAGCATACAGCGAGCAAGCAGTGCCGAGCAAGCAGTATGCAAGCAGCGTGCGAGAAGCGTTCAGAAGAGATTCAGAGCATTCGAGTCGCTAAGCTAGAGCAAACAGCGAGCAAGCAGTATGCAAGCAGCGTGCGAGAAGCGTTCAGAAGAGATTCAGAGCATTCGAGTCGCTAAGCTAGAGCAAACAGCGAGCAAGCAGTATGCAAGCAGCGTGCGAGAAGCGTTCAGAAGAGATTCAGAGCATTCGAGTCGCTAAGCTAGAGCAAACAGCGAGCAAGCAGTATGCAAGCAGCGTGCGAGAAGCGTTCAGAAGAGATTCAGAGCATTCGAGTCGCTAAGCTAGAGCATACAGCGAGCAAGCAGTGCCGAGCAAGCAGTATGCAAGCAGCGTGCGAGAAGCGTTCAGAAGAGATTCAGAGCATTCGAGTCGCTAAGCTAGAGCAAACAGCGAGCAAGCAGTATGCAAGCAGCGTGCGAGAAGCGTTCAGAAGAGATTCAGAGCATTCGAGTCGCTAAGCTAGAGCAAACAGCGAGCAAGCAGTATGCAAGCAGCGTGCGAGAAGCGTTCAGAAGAGATTCAGAGCATTCGAGTCGCTAAGCTAGAGCAAACAGCGAGCAAGCAGTATGCAAGCAGCGTGCGAGAAGCGTTCAGAAGAGATTCAGAGCATTCGAGTTGCTAAGCTAGAGCAAACAGCGAGCAAGCAGTATGCAAGCAGCGTGCGAGAAGCGTTCAGAAGAGATTCAGAGCATTCGAGTCGCTAAGCTAGAGCAAACAGCAAGCAAGCAGTATGCAAGCAGCGTGCAAGAAGCGTTCAGAAGAGATTCAGAGCATTCGAGTCGCTAAGCTAGAGCAAACAGCGAGCAAGCAGTATGCAAGCAGCGTGCGAGAAGCGTTCAGAAGAGATTCAGAGCATTCGAGTCGCTAAGCTAGAGCATATAGCGAGCAAGCAGTGTCGAGCAAGCAGTATGCAAGCAGCGTGCGAGAAGCGTTCAGAAGAGATTCAAAGCATTCGAGTTGCTAAGCTAGAGCATACAGCGAGCAAGCAGTGTCGAGCAAGCAGTATGCAAGCAGCGTGCGAGAAGCGTTCAGAAGAGATTCAGAGCATTCGAGTCGCTAAGCTAGAGCAAATAGCAAGCAAGCAGTATGCAAGCAGCGTGCAAGAAGCGTTCAGAAGAGATTCAGAGCATTCGAGTCGCTAAGCTAGAGCAAACAGCGAGCAAGCAGTATGCAAGCAGCGTGCGAGAAGCGTTCAGAAGAGATTCAGAGCATTCGAGTTGCTAAGCTAGAACAAAGTGTGTTCTTCGCTATTCGAGCGAGAGAGCAGAGTGAGCAAGCAGTAGATCTGAGTATCTTCTGTTTTCGAGAGTGTGTTCTTCGCTATTCGAGCGAGAGAGCAGAGTGAGCAAGCAGTAGATCTGAGTATCTTCTGTTTTCGAGAGTGTGTTCTTCGCTATTCGAGCGAGAGAGCAGAGTGAGTAAGCAGTAGATCTGAGTATCTTCTGTTTTCGAGAGTGTGTTCTTCGCTATTCGAGCGAGAGAGCAGAGTGAGCAAGCAGTAGATCTGAGTATCTTCTGTTTTCGAGAGTGTGTTCTTCGCTATTCGAGCGAGAGAGCAGAGTGAGCAAGCAGTAGATCTGAGTATCTTCTGTTTTCGAGAGTGTGCTTTTCGCTATTTGAGCGAGAGCGCAGAGCTGAAGCGGAGTGTCCGCTTGGCAACTGAAGTTGCTTGGGTATTAGGTTGCGAACCAATTACCCTTCTGCGCCTAGCGGTGGAGCGAAGCGTAGCAACGGCTTCAGAGTTGCTAGAGAGCAACTCTCAAGACGGAAAGCTGTAATTATCCGTTATAGCTGCAGGGACGCTGTCCTGGATGCTGGGCTCCTTGGCTGCAAACCAAGTCCCTGGTGGAAGGCTTGCAACCTACATCAAACAGCTTTAAGTTCTGAAGAGTGCCTGGATAAAGCGCTGAGGGAGCAGCGACTGAGCAGCGTATATGGCGCGGGTATTGCACTCGGAAGACTTACGTCTGGAATGTGATTAAAAAGAGATTTTTTTTTTCACAGGCTTCGGGGACGAAGCCAGAAGAGAAGGAGGGAGATGGTTGAGAGGCCTGAGGCATTGAGAGACCTTGAGAGACCTTGAGTGACCTAGAAGCCTGAGGCACTGAGAGATCTTGAGAGGCCTTGAGAGGCCTGAGGCACTGAGAGATCTTGAGAGGCCTTGAGAAACCTGAGGCACTGAGAGATCTTGAGAAGCCTTGAGAGGCCTGAGGCACTGAGAGATCTTGAGAAGCCTTGAGAAGCCTGAGGCACTGAGAGATCTTGAGAGGCCTTGAGAAACCTGAGGCACTGAGAGATCTTGAGAAGCCTTGAGAGGCCTGAGGCACTGAGAGACCTTGAGAGGCCTTGAGAGGCCTGAGGCACTGCGAGGCCTTGAGAGGCCTTGAGAGGCCTGAAGCACTGAGAGATCTTGAGAAGCCTTGAGAGGCCTGAGGCACTGAGGGACCTTGAGAGGCCTTGAGAGGCCTGAGGCACTGAGAGACCTTGAGAGGCCTTGAGAGGCCTGAAGCACTGAGAGATCTTGAGAGGCCTTGAGGAACCTGAGGCACTGAGAGATCTTGAGAGGCCTTGAGAGGCCTGAGGCACTGAGAGACCTTGAGAGGCCTTGAGAAGCCTGAGGCACTGAGAGATCTTGAGAGGCTTTGAGAAACCTGAGGCACTGAGGGATCTTGAGAAGCTTTGAGAAGCCTGAAGCACTGAGAGATCTTAAGAGCCTGAAGCATTGAGAAGGCGTAGGAGCAGCTAGGAAGCAGCGAAAGCCTGGAAGCAACGGAAGCTTGGGAGCAACGGAAGCTTGGGAGCAACGGAAGCCTGGAAGCAACGAAAGCTCGGAAGCCTCAAAGGCCTTGAGGACAAGGCCTGATAAGGGGGGACAATCTGTCAGGGCCGATTGTGCCAGCAAGGCTCAGGGCCAGCTAAGCCAGCTGGATTACGGATGACTAAGCAATATGCGGCTATAAAGCGGCTTTCTAGCCACGTCAGCACTGCTGAGCAGAACTTAGCTCCTTAGGCCTCAATGTTATTCTGGTTGTATGCCCCTGAAAGAGAGAAAGACCTCGCCACATTGCCTTTGCAACCTTTCCACCTGACATATACCTTGTCTAAGAAATGCATTCTGCAGCTATAATAAATGCAGAAGATCCAAGCTAATTCGTAGTATAGATCGTGAAGTAAGCTAATCCGAGAGTCTTCATCTTCTAATGTCTCAATATTCTGTAAGGAAATGCAGATAAAGAGCTTCTCTAACCCTATCCCATAAACGAGATATTCAATCCATATTATTTCCTTATTCCATTCAATACCGAAGGAAAACCTTCTCATAGGTTTCTTGGATTCATTATTCACGAGAGATTCTAGTAGATCGTTAAGCTATCCGCCCTAGTTTGATTCTTCTGCTGCCTGAGAAGCATTTCCAGTATTGTTCATATATTTGTATCAGTAATCAAGAGAATATCATCCCTTATCCATGTTTCTAATTATAATGCTTAGCATAAGCAATAAAGAATGTTGAAGGATATTGTTGCTAAGCCCTTCTTCCAGCGCCTGGATGCTCTGTTCCACAATATCAGAGCAATCCGGGTTGCTACTCGTAGAGATGTTAAGCATACATTCTCGCCCTGCTATTGCTATTTGTCTGCAGCGCTGAGATTTCTGAAGAAACCATCCTAAACCTTCCTTACTTGAAAGGTATATTAAGCAGTTGTTATTATAATAGAATATTCAGCTGAAACTTCTGTAATTAATAGAGTCCGATACTTGCTCTGAAGAAGTGTTTTTGCTTAGTTAATTGAGTTTCTATCATCAAGCAATATTTATCTAGCATTCTTCCTGAACTAGTTGCTATTTATTCTTCCGGGATTAATAGCAGTTGCATGCAATATATTCTTGTTTGTTGCAGTTATAGCAAGTAATACTATTCCTCTTGCTATACTGCTTGTTAGCAGCATCGAGTTCTATGAAATCAGCATGCATAGTGCTGCTCTGAGCTATACTGCTATATCGATTGCTATTCTTGTTTTGGAGTTTCTTATCTGTATTAGCTGGAAATCTCTAAGTCTAGCTTTCTCCCTTCTTGAATTTCTTCAATTATTGCTTATACAGATAGTTGTTAATGCAGATTGCTTGATTAAAGAATATTGCAAAGTTCTCTAGCTAATCCTGCTTAGAGATCTTGTTTTTAACATTATCCTTGAATCCCTTATAATAGTATTTCATAAGATTCTTGTTTTCTCACGGGAATCGTGCTAAGAGTTGCTTGAATCTAACTGTATAAGCAGAAGCTAACTTGGTCTATCTGAGATCTATAAGCTGCTAAACCATAATACATTCTTCGTTAGGATTACTAAAAGTCTCTTTAAGAGCTTTCTCGAAGCTCTCAAAGAAATCGAATATATTCTTGGTATCCTGAGTATATATACTGGAATCGTTCTAATACTTCAAGTGATTACGCAGAAAAGGTTTATACCAGATGAGAGCATTCTTTTCGAAACGAATTCCTGCAAGAATAACTTTCTCAGATTCCTTAGTAAACTAAGTCTTGTAATACAGAAAATACGCCCTGTAGTAGGTAAGGAATCCATACAGCGTTTTCTGATTGCTATTATACATAGCGAGCTTGTCCATCTTGTATACCTTTCCAGCACTATTAATAGCTATAGAGATGAATTGCGCCTGCTAAGCTTATTAAGCTAGCTAAGCCTGCTAGTTAGCAATAGTAATACTCTAAGCCTGCTATTGTTCGCACAAGTTCTGAATACGCTGAATAAGCTGATATATCTGGTTAACTAGTTCTTCCTGAGTAGGAGCGCGCAAGAACAAAGAGGTTTCTGAAGAAGCTATCGTATTCTGTATTGCTCAAGAGATAATACTGAACTGTTCTTAAACAAGAGTTATCAAAATGTAATAAGCACTGCAGCGATCTGAAGATTTCTAAGTATACGAGAGGTTTATGCTAACAAGAGCGGTATCAAAGTATTAAGTCCTTGAATACGGAACTGTACAAGTCTCAATAAGCAATGCAAGTATTTACTGCCTTTGGAGCTACTCAGTATATGAAACTGAATACTTAGATTAACAACTGAAGAACTATCTGAAGGAAATCTATCTGATAGTAAGAAATGTAAACCTTCATATACCTGGTTCTTCAGTCTCTTGCTTGCTGATAATCATCCTAGATCACCACTGATCATATCAGATCACTACTGATCACTGAGCGCTGATAATCACTAGTGATCGCCCTATTGTCTGATTAGTTGGCCTGTAACCCTAACCCTGAGTTATGTAATCCTTGTGAGTTGTTTGATGTTGAGTTATAACACCTGATCCTTGTTTGCCTGTGATCTGTTCTCGTGACCTGCATGTTGGATGAGTTATAACACTGAAGCATTCGTTAGATTAAAGAGCATAATTAGATATTCGTAGTATTTATAGTATATTCTGAAAGCAGTTTTCCATTCTTCTTCTTCCTTTACTCTAATCAGATTATAAGCTTTTTTTAGATCTAGAACTATAAACTATTATACTCCTTAAAGCTTATCTTATAATTTCTTAATAAGTAGTAATAAATATCAGTTTTTAATTATAATATCATTAAATTGCTTGTAATCAATGTATAGCCTGAGCTTGCTATTTTTCTTAGATACAAACAGAATAGGATATCCTGCTAGTAATCGCAATAATTATATATATTCCTTCTTAAGATTCTTATCAAGATACTCCTGAAGTGCTTCTAGCTATATCTTGTTTAATTCGTAGATAGAGAAGAATTTGAGCTGTTTCTCTTCTTGTAGCGGAATCTTGTAGTTATATGAGCTGTATTCTAGCAATCCTGTATCCAATTCTTTCTGGAACAGTTTCTTAAACTTATGATATTCTTGTAATATATTCGCGAGTATTGGTTCTAGTTCTTGTGCTGTTTCTGCTATCTGGAGGAACAGTAGGTATCGTTGAGTATGCTTCTTTTCATTCGTTATTTTTGGTGATGTTTTTGAGAGCCTTGAGCATTCGCTTTAGGCTGAATTGAGCGCTCGAGAGCTTGGTTTCGAAGTTTTTCCTGTATAGGTTCATAATTCACTTTCTGAAGCTTTTCTTTGTTGCTTCAAAGCGAACTAACTTGCTGAGAGTCTTGCTTCCGTTGTTTTACTAATCTGTTAGCGCTCTAGCACTATTTGGATTTGCTTGTTACTAGATCCTTCTCCTTGAACTGCTAGCTTTGCTGATTTAAAGATATGTATGAAGTTGTATGAAGCTTCTTTTCCTGAGTATTCTTTAATCACTAGCTTCAATCCTGCGCTATTAATTATAACTATCTCTCTGGATATAGCTTGTTTTCATAAGATCTAGCTAATAATCCAATCAATTCGAGGATTATGCTTCTTGAGCTATGAAAGCTTTATAATTAGCTTATGCTGTACTGTATTCATAATATCAAAGGAAACTCTAATTATATATTCTTAGATTAAGATAAGTAGATAATCAGTTTTCTTATTAATTACTTCTTAATTGTATGCAACAGATTATTCTTTTACAGTGCTAAGAGTATATAAGCATCTCTTTCATTTTTATTATAATTATGCCTGATTAATAATATATAGGAATATGAAGTTTCTCTAAGTATTACTATTTAATAGTATGCTGTATTTGTATTCTTAAATGTATATATCAAACTTGATATAAATATAATCTGTTTTGAAAGCTTTATATAGGAATTGTTTCAGTTTGATTATTTGCAGTTTCTTTATAAGCAATCTTATTCTTTTGAGTTTATCAAGAACTATTTATTCTTCTAAGCCTGCTTTGCTGCTTCTTAAGCAAGCTTCTTAGCTTATTTTTGCTTATATCATTATTATTTCTAATGTTTCTTCTATTAATGCTAGTTACAAACTTTATTATTAATGTAAATTGTACAGAGTATTATTTTGCACTGCTACTATTTTATTTTCTTGTTTATGCATTGTATAAAGCAGTTGTTTAATAATCCGATATATGCATTGTAGTACTATCTGTTGAGAATCTTCCTAAAGCGGAATTTCTGTTCTTCAATAGCTTGAAGAATTTATTCTAGTTCTCTAATAAAGAATCATTTGTATTGCATTTTGTTCGAAAAATGCATTCTGTAGCTATAATAGGTGCAGAAGATTCAAGCTAATTCATAGTATAGATTGTGAAGTGAGCTAATCCGAAGATTCTCATCTCCTTGTGCTTCGATATTCTGCAAGGGGATGCAGATAAAGAGCTTTTCTAGCTCTATTCTGTAAACAAGATATTCGATTCATATTGTTTCCTTATTCTATTCAATACTAAAGAGGAACCTTTCTATAAGCTTCTTGGATTCATTGTTTATGAAAGACTTCGATAAGTTGTTAGATTGTTCATTCTAACTTAATCTTTCTGTTGCTTAAGAAGTATTCTCTATATTGCTTAGATATTTATACTAGTAGCTAAGAGGATATTATTCCTTATTTATATTTCTAATTATAATGCTTGGTATAAATAATGAAGAATGTTGAAGGATATTATTACTAAGCTCTTCTTTCAATGCTTAAATGCTCTATTTCATAATATCAGAGCAGTTCGAGTTGCTACTCGTAAGAGTGCTAAGCATACACTCCTGTTCTGCTGTTGCTATTTGTCTGTAGCGCTTAGATTTCTGAGAGAATCATTCTGAATCTTTCTTACTTGAGAGGTATATTAAGCAGTTGTTATTATAGCAGAATATCCAGCTGAGACTTCTGTAATTAATAAAGTTCAATACTTGCTCTGAGAGGGTGTTTTTGCTTAGTTAATTGAGTTTCTATTATTGAGCAATATTCATCTAGCATTCTTTCTGAACTGATTGCTATTTGTTCTTCCGGAATTAATAGTAGTTGCATACAATATATTCTTATTTATTGCAATTATAGCAAGTAATGCTATTTCTTTTGCTATATTGCTTATTAGTAGCATTAAGTTTCATAAGATTAGCATGTATAGTACTGCTCTAAGCTATGCTGCTATATTAACTGCTATTCTTGTTTTAAAGTTTCTTATTTGTATTAACTGAAAATCTTCAAGTCTAGCTTTCTTTCTTCTTAAATTTCTCTATTCATCATTCATACAAATAGTTATTAATGCAGATAGCTTGATTAGAGAATATTGCGAAGTTCTTCAGCTAATTCTGCTTAGAGATTTCATTTTTAATGTTATTCTTGAGTTCCTTGTAATAGTATTCCATGAGATTCTTGTTTTCCTACGGAAGTCTTGCTAAGAGCTGCTTGAATCTAACTATATAAGCAGAAGCTAACTTAGTCTGCTTGAGATTTATAAGCTGCTGAGCTGTAATGCATTCTTCGTTGGGATTATCAAAGGTTTTTTTGAGAGCTTTTTTGAAGCTCTTAAAGAAATCGAATATATTCTTAGTATTCTGGATATATGCATTAGGATTATTCTGATGCTTCAAGTGATTATATAGAGAAGGCTTGTATTAAATAAGAGCATTCTTTTTGAAATGAGTTCTTATAAGAATAACTTTCTCAGATTTCTTGATAAACTAAATCTTGTAATACAGGAAATATGCTCTGCAGTAGATAAGGAATCCATGCAGCATCTTTTGATTGCTATTATATATAGCGGATTTATTCATCTTATATGCTTTTTCAGCGCTACTGATAGTTGCAGAGATAAACTGCGCCTACTGAGCTTATTAAGCTAGCTGAGCCTGTTAATTAGCAATAGTAGCACTCTAAGCTTGCTATTATTCGTACAGATTCTGAATTTACTGAATAAGCTGATATACCTAGTTAACTAATTCTTTCTAAGTAAGAATATACGAGAATAAAGAAGTTTCTGGAGAAGCTATTGTATTCCGTATTGCTCAAGAGATAATACTGAACTGTTCTTGAACAAGAGTTGTTAAAATATAATGAATACTGCAGCAATCCGAAGATTCCTAAGTATACGAAGAGGTTTATGCTAACAAGAGCAATATCAAAGTATCAAGTTCTTGAATACGGAACTGTACAAGTTCTAATAAGCAATGCAAGTATTTACTATCTTTGAAGCTACTCAGTATATGAAACTGAATACTTAGATTAATAACTGAAGAGCTATATACTAAATCTATCTAATGGTAATGAACATATCCTTATATATTTAGCTCTTCAGTTCTAACTATTCTGACTATGCTTCGATTCCTCATAGTTGTTTCCTAAATATGTTAACTATGTTCATAGTCAACATAGTTGCGCTAGTAATCCTAACTCGGGTTACGTAATCCTGATTGGTACTCGACGTTGAGTTGTGATACCTGGTCCCTTGGTTGGTGGAGCTTATCCTGTGACCTGCATGTTGGATAGGTTATAACACTAGATCTTATGAAAACAAGCTGTATTCAGAGAGATAGTTGCAATCAACAATACAGAATCGAAGCTAGTTATTGAAGAATACTCGGAAAAAGAAGCTTCAGATAACTTTATATATACTTTCAAATCAGTAAAGCTAGCAGTTCAAGGAGAAGAATCTAGTAATAAGCGAACTCAAATAGTGCTAGTGAACCAGAACTAGGGCGCCGTCGCCCTCGAAAGAAAAAGGGACAAACAGCTGCTGAAGCAATGAGCAAGAGCTCGTGCAACCCAAGCGTGCCTGTACAGATGAGGACAGCAAACTAAGGCCACACGAGCACAAGAACAGGGTGAAAAACCTGTCTTAGACCTGTCCAAAGGATTCAAAATTGAAAAGAAGAGAAAGGATGCTTTTTTTGTTACTTATAGCTAAAGAATTTGAAAAGTGAGTAGTATCCTTTATATATATGAGAACCCTTAACCCACTGTACTCCACGTTCCACGGACTACTACTCTAACTACTACAACAGTTCTCCCCCAGCAACTTTCTTCCAAAGTTGCAACAAGTCCAATGATATGCTAGATCTAATCAGAGGAAAATGAAGTAAAGAAATAAAGAATTCATTATAAACTACTAAAGGAAATACTGCAAATCAAACTATCCCTCCAATTCAACTCTTATATCTCTCTCTATTGCTTAAGCTATTATTCAAATCAATGCAGAAGTATTAGTATCTATTTTCAGTTTATTCATAATACAAGTACAATCTGAATAGATTCTAATGCTGATCTCTTCTCTATTTCCATTTGCTCTCAAACTCTGCTTAAGCAGCAGCAATAGCAGCAGTTCTCTCCTGATTCTGCATTCTCATTTAACAGATCCTTTTGCAGTTCGCTTTATACATATCTATCTTAATAGTATAATCAAACTCTATTCAGTTCGGAGAACTTACTAAGAGCCTAATAGGATTAAAGCTATAAAGCTTATTCTATAGAGATATACGAGGCTTCTAAGGTTTATTAGGAAAACTGAGAAGCATAATGTTGCTGCTTCTCAGTTTCTGATGCAATAAAGCTTTAGTAGCATATTCAGATCTAGCTATTTGCTATATTAATAGATTGATTATTGGTTCTAAACTAACAAGCATTTCTTAAGATAAAGAGAAGTAAGGATTGATAGAAGTTTCGGATAGGAGTTAACTTAATTCTGAGCTGATATTATGTTCTCTTAATGAATGCAAGATTGGATTAGCTGAAGCTATACTCTCTTGAAACTGTTATCTTGATGAAACTAGGCTGGATGCTCTACTCGCTCTGAAATCCTTCAGAGCAAAAGCTGATATATTCCTTCTTATTCTATTAAGATCGCTTTCAATAGATAATTTAAGCAAGTCTGCAACTCTTTTTACGAAGAAGATAATATTCAGCTTGTAAATTATATTTAGTATCTTATCAGCTTCTACTTGTATAGCTTTATATTCTTGAAATAAAGCACTTCTTCTTAATAGCTGATCAGAATATTGTATATAGTTGCTGTATTCCAGCTCATAAGAGAAAGCCTAGCAGTACAGGCTTGTTATAGCCATCTCTGTACTCTATTCTTTCACATTTTGTACAGTTTCTCTATAATTAAGATAAAGAGCTTGCTTTCAGTCTGGATAGCTACTAGATGATTGATAGAAATCAGTAGATTCCAGGATTCGAAGGCGAAATAGTTCGATTGTATAGAGCAGAGCTGCATTCGAATTATTATCTAGCAGTATAGTTAGAATATTCTTGAAATCCTAATCCTAATTAGCTTCAGCACTTCTGAGCTAACTGTTCAGATAGTGCTTGCTTGTATAAGCTAGTAGGATATTGCTGAATTTGTATACAGCGATGTAAAATCCTTTTTCAGTCTTTATATTGAGTTAAGATAGAGCATAAGCTAAAGTTGCTGTATTAACTGAGAGGAGAACTCATAAATGCTTCTGTCTAGCTTTATATCTAAGCAGATCCTGCTTATTGAGAATATTAAAAGAGCTAGATAGTTGAGCTATTAATGAAATACAAAAGCATTTCATTAAGAATACATCTTGTTGATTATACTAAGCATAATAATGAAAAGCAGCTATAGCATGCTGCAAACTAATATCTTGAGAAACTTCTGTATCTAAAAATCTAATTAGATTATAGATATTAAGAAGGTATTTAAAAGGATTAGCACTGAAGATTATAAGCAAGTATGATTTGCAAGGGGGTAATTCTGGGAAGTACTTCTTGATAAGTTCTGCTGCTAGATAATTTTCTTTATCTTTTAGACTGAAATAGAGCAAACAACTCTTGATTACTTCAGTTGGATATAGCACTCTGAGAAAGATAGTTCGAAAGCAGTAAGCTTTGATCATCCAGTTCCTTCAGCTATGCTGAATAGATAGAAACAGAGAGTACTTGAATTCGGCTATTGCTGCTAAGTTGAAAGAAAAGTGAAAAGGAAAGAATAGCTTTATTGGAAGGTAAGCAATTGCAAGAAGGGTTTGCGAAGATGTAAAGTCAAGAGACTGAGAGAGTATTGATTGAGAAAGAAAGGTAGAGAAGAATGCAGCTTCAGCTAGAGAATCTGTTGAGAAAGATAATATTATGTAAGCAGAGCAGTTAACAATTTGCTCTGATGTTGGTATATAAGTCTGAAGCAGCATTAACAAGAAAGAAAAAAGGATATATATATGCTTGAGAAAGGTAGTTGTGAAGAAGTTGAAAGAGGAAGAAGAATAGCTAGCTGCAAGTATGAATGAAATAGCTAATTTATCTTGTTTAGCAACTACTCAAGTAATTTACTGCTTTCTGTTTATTATAAAGCAAATAGCTTTACTCTTAGCTAGATAAAAGCTGTTTAGCAATAAACTAAATAGAAGGCGTAGTAACTCAGTTGGATGTATTTGTTACTCATTGCTATCTTATCAATCTTTAGCAATCTATTCAATAATCTCTCTCTCAGTTTACCTTGCTTTTCAATTCATTCTTCGCATAACAACTTCTCCTTCTATTAACCTTCTCTTGCTCAGCTCTGCAATATACTTAAGATATCTCGAATCATTATCAATGCTATTTTCTCTTTGCATATAAATACTGCTTCTCAAGAGATTAATAAGATCTAGATCTGATTTTCTTCTTCAGTTTCTCCTTCTTAGAATAGCAATTACTACTAGCTTAAGAATATCTATATTAACTTTCTTGATATTATGAACTTCAATACTATTAAGGAAGATCTTAGCTTGATATATGCTTCTTAGAATATTCAAAGCGATATTATATTTTGAAACAACTTATTGCTAAGCTCTGATTTTGCTACTTATTTTGCAAAGCTGAATAATAAGAATTCTATCAAACTGAATCCTATTGTAGTGTATAAAGCTGATTAGAAGCTTTTTAGCAAGTATCTTACTTGCATCTTCTTCCGATCTAAGCGAGTAAATTCCCTTCTCATTCAGTTCTATAATTAGCATAATCTAGTCTCTTGCAATTGCTGCTTTTATCAGTATGCTACTGCTTGCATGCTTGTATAGAAGCAGCAGATTAATATTAACTAACTTTTCCTAGAATGTATCTTAATAAAGAGCTTCTTTAATAGGAAGTGCAGCAACTGTATTTATTATACAGAATCTGGATATAACTATACTAAAGACTTCTCTTGTATCAAAGAGTGTAATATGTAAATAAGATTTTCATTCTGATATCTTTGATTAGATTTGAGCATATACTAATCATTGTTCTTCTTACAGCATTAGCACTCGTTTTATTAACTCAGCTTTCAATATATAATTGAGATAGATTCTCAAGTTAATTCTAATGCTGATATTAAGCATATTATTAAAGCTTAATACAAGCTTATACAGGATAAAGATATTATATATAATCAGATTAAATGGATTTCTCTTATACTAAGAAAGTAGTATTTATAGAATACTGTAAGTCTTATAATCAATTATAGTTGCAATGCTTAAGAAGATTATTGCTAACTTTATCTATACAGATTAGCAAGAAGAATACTGCTTCTTTTGCTCTATCCTAAAGTCAAAGTGTTCTCAAGGTAGAGAACAGTTTTTTT